ATCTGTGTTCTTGTAAGGCTCCTTGCAGCCTGGGCAGATGCCATCCCCTGTCTTGAGGGCATCGTTGAAGCAGTCACGGCATATCTTGAAATCGCAGTCACACGGGAGGATATCGGCCCCACGCCCGTCGGTCACGACCTTGCCATCGCAGCCCTGGACGGCGCACGACGAGCCCTTCACGCCGGCCATCTGGGGGTGGCTGGCCTCCGACTCCATTACCTTATCCATGAGGTGGGCCCGGGTGACGCTGTTATAGCCTCCCGTGAAGAGGGAACTCGACACATACTGCTCCTCCACCCGCTGGGAGATCGAGTGGTCCACCACCATCGGCTGGTTGTCGGGTGTCGGGGGTATGTGGACGGTATACTCACTCAACTCCGCCCCTCCGCTTATGTCGCTATCCATGCTGTCCCGGGAGAGGTTCACGTACCGCCCAGAAGACGTCCGCCTCGTGAACGTCACACCCCGCGACGACTCACTCTGCCTCAACGATCTTTCTGCCATCTTCACCCCAAGCTGGAGAGGGAGAAAAAGGAAATATTTAGTTAAAATCCCATCTTATTTTCCGGAAGGGGGACTTGCTAATTTCAAATCTTTGAGCTACATCAAAACAATTTCTCTCTCTACAACCTCTTTCACTTATTAATCTTTTTTTTTTTTTCTGGATAAGAGAAAAGGGGCTTGAAAATTCAAATCTTTTACAGACAACGGATCTAAAGTAATCAAGAACCCAAAGAAAATATTACCTGTTTATGAATTGAACGGAGAAGAAGATGAACAACAATACCATCGACCAGATCCTCCCTCGTGAAGATCTAAAACCTTAGACCAAATGACGAAACCTGAAAGATCGAGAAGGAAACCAGATGAAAAATAGAAGTCGGAAGGACTTATTCTGACCAATATAAAAATACTAGAGTTTTATTACCACTTCAAAACGTGTGAACAACAAGTAGTAGCACAAACCTAACAAGGCGTGTAAGAAGAAATTTTCACACTTAAAATGAGAGAAATAGTTATATACAAGGTAAGGAAATATTTACATTACAATTGTATGTATTAACTAACAGTTCTTGGTTGAGAGGGTCCAAGATTTTGCTCTACAGCTAATTGTTTCTTCCCTACTATATCTATATATAAATAAATAAATCCCTTTCACCCAGTTTTCAAAGTCGGTCCAACAAGTAATGACTACTCCTAAAAAGTAAAAAAAACAACAAATCGGCACGAAAATTACCAAACACGTTTAGACAGAGCACACAAAACCTTTCTTATTCGCCTGTTAACAATAAGATATACCGATACGAACGTTCCCTACTATAAAAGGGGAGAGCGAGAGAAGAGATTCAAAAAGAAGATCTGAATACAACCTTATATTAAGATTAAGAAAATCAACAGATCAAGGGATATTCAGCTAGCTTTTCTGTAGTACGTGGAAAATTCCCGAGACGCTTGCTTCGGAGTTGATGTATAAGAGTTGCAGACATCAAAAATGAAAAATATGAAATTCTTTTCCACTATTTCGTTTTTCAGAATCCAGAAACAGGAGACTGCGGCCGGCAGCTCATGATGATAGTTTATGTGAAAATAGCCTTTTTCACATATGGAAATGTATTAATTTTTTTACACCTGCCTGTATATGAGTTAACTTTTTCACCCAAGTAAGTGCGAAAGTGATTGTGCGATAATAGTGGATTGCTATTTACCGCCCCTTATTACTAGTCACCGCCCCTCCAATTACAAAA